CAAGCCATGCTCTATATCTTGAAAAAGAATGTGCCTTTGAGTGGCAGCATGAACAAAAGCAGGCGTTTAATGCGTTTAGGACTGCTCTTTGTACTAATTTATTTTAAGTTCATCTCCACTTTAATCAACCTTTCTTGCTATTCACAGATGTGAGTGATGTTGCTGTTGGGCCATCCTAACCCAGCACAGTCTAAAATCAGGTCATTCAGTAGCCTACTTTAACAAGACCTTAATCAAGGATTGATGGAGCTATAGCGTTACTTATTGAGAGTGACTGGCTGCTTTGTAGGCAATCAAGCACTTATAGCCTTACCTATATAGCACCCACTTCACATCATCACTAGCCATTCCTCACTCCAATGGCTGCAGCAATTAATGACCCAGATGTATGGTTAGCCAGACGGGCTCTAAGGCTTCAGAACTACTATTTCACTATAGTCTATTTTGTAGGAGTGATTTGCCTGAAAACCAATGGTCTTTAGGGTGCTGGTACTGGCTTCTTTGACCCCAAGGAGGACTAACTTTATGATATAGTTTAGTTGACTAGAACGGTGGGAGTTATAAGCTCCTGAGATCCAAGCTGAGTTCTGAAAAATAAACCAAGATACCCAGATCAAGGAAAGAATGCTATATAAGAGGGCAAATAATAGATGGCTCCCCTACATAAGCCCTACTTCTTGAACTGATGTTATTCTAGAAGGGCATGCAACAGTGGGACAAAGGTAGTGAAGAAGACTCAGAGTGTCTAAAGAAACGATGCTACTGGGATTGAATAATAGAATCCATCTAAGAAGTCCTGGAGGCTTTTATGACATGCTAATCCCAAGTTTGAGCCAGTACCTGATATCTACGCTCAGTCATTGCAACATCAGGTCCTTTTAATGTCATTAGCATTGATGTAGTAGGCCATATTCCCACCAGGTTACATGCCCATAGATATATACTCTTAGCCGTAAACAACTTGATTAAATGGATTGAAGCAATTCTGTCCCCGCTGCCACTTCTAAAGCCATGGCCCTATTTCTTATTTGATCCATTTTTACCCAGCATGGATGCCGCAAAATTTAATTTAATACAATGAGCTAAATTTAACCTCGCAGGTATTTCAAAAACTAAAGTCACTTTTTGGAACCAAATAAAGTTTTACCTCCCCTTAAAACTCATCAATTAATGAGGTAGTGGAGCGTGCTAATGTAACCATCATCTCTATCTTTTGTAAGATGGCAGCATTCAACCCTAATCACTGGAATCGTTAATTACATAGAGCATTACTTGCTTACCAAATAAGCTACCAATAATTTATCAAAATTTTCTTTTAAACTCTATATAGGTGTGCTTCCTATCTACCACGTAGCATTCATCTCATGCTTGATACCTCCAGACCTGAGAAATTTGATTTATCTATGAGGGCCTTAGCAAACGAAATTGTCCAGCTAAGCCCTGGCCACAAGAGTCACTTTCACTACAACAGAAAGTGAGAAATCCCAATCTATTTTTTGGCTGACCCTCCTTACCAATTTTTCAATTAGGTGACCTAATTCTCTTTTATCACAATTGACCCATAGGTTGATAGAACAAGCTCAATGTTATTTGGTCTAGAACTTGAAAGAACAAACATAAGGTAAACTTAGAGTACTCCATTGAAAATGTTAATCAGGGGACAGTGATGAACGAGTAAATGTCTGATTCCTTCAGCCCTATATCCCCTAACAGGATCTTAAAGGGGGCCTTGTTAAGGTTTTCAATGATGAGTTAGTCAAAATCCCCACAACTAAGTCGAGACTCTACAAGTTAACTCTCAAGACAGAATCTATGAAAACTAGCCCTTAAGGCATCAATACAAGAATTGATCAGGAAGCATCACGTGTATGAGTATCAGTGGAGGCACCTTCAGGAAGCTCATCCCTGCTTACTAAACTCAAGAGAGGCGTGACCCCCACTGATGTGGTCACAAGGATGATGCAGAACAATGAGGGAGCTGACCAGGCGGTTGATACAGAAGGCAGTGAAAGATACTGATCATACAAGACCACAAAAGTCCCTAAGGCACTAATTCCCCACATGTACTATAAATACTGACACTCTTTGAATCAATAAAGTGGTCTATTTCGCCACACCTTTTTGTTTTTGGCCTCTCTGCTAAATAACAGCTTCAAGACCATTTTCAAATTTTGGCGTCAGTCAAGAAAACTGTTACACTGATAGAGATCAACCCTGTCTCCTACCTTTTCCATTTGCTTTTCCTTTTTTCACTTATTTTGTAAATTATAATTACCCATAGTTGCCTCAGGTATCAGATTTTTATTTATAAAGAGGACCCTGGTTGAATCACCCGTTTGATGGAGGAGAGAATAATGTGCTTGTTGCACTGAGATTGATTAAAATTATTGCATATAAACAGATCTGTTTGATCATTTTCACATAATGCTCTTTGGATTCAGTAACAATGATGTATATTAGTATTCCAACCTAATCTGAAGAATTGACCACCTAAGATAGTAGATTTTTAAACTGATCCAGAAAAAAAAATCATTTTTTTATGTCAGAGTTCAAATCAGACCCAAAGGATTGGTGACCACAACTGTTGGGGTTCAAACCTAATCCAAAATATTGATTACCTCTACTTTAGAAAATGCAAGATGTTTTTTTAAAACTGAGGAATATGAATTCGATAAAAATTTTGTTTTGGAAGTTCCTGGCAATTTTCCTGTTGAATTAATACTTCATCTCCTATAAGTTTTTCCCTATAAATAAACTTGATAATGCTTTATATACACTAAATTTTGGTTATCACTTGTACTTAGCTAAAATTCAAGGATAACTGAAATTAAGGACAATCTTTCCTCAGTTGTAGATTTAACCCTTTCAATTATTTGACGCATATATGCGTCAAAAAATGGGGGTGATGTAAATCTAAAAACGCATATATGCATCCAAAAAATGAGGGGTATGTAATTCTAAAAACGCATATATGCGTCCAATAAAAATGAGATTTATATAAATTTATTTAAAAATTTATTGAATATTCATGTTATGACAAAGACCCAAATGAGCTTAAAAAATATGAACATTGGCTAAGAAATTTGTGACAAATTTAAGGCCAAAAAACGAAAAAATTTATTTTGAAAATTAGTAAAAGGGTTACTAAAACCCTTATTTTTAGGTCTTTTGTGTACCCTTAACTTTTACCTGGATGGCAGATATTCCCCCTTTTTTTAACAAATTTTCTGGTGCTCCTTGTTAGGTTACCCCTAGTCCCTGGTGAACTTTAACAACCTTTATGAACATTAATGACTCCACCCTAAAATTTTCTTCCTACCATAAGACCCATCACCTCAGTGAATGGGCAAATATTGTGCATGTAGGAAAATCTTTTGCTGTGTCACAAAATCTTCAACTACCAGCTTAAATGGATGTGGACCTTACCACTCCATATGATCACCATTATCTGCTACAGATCTCAGACTTCTCAGATCCGTTCAACTCCTTATTATTAGGGCTTTGTCCCAGGTGGACGGTAGATTAATATAAGCTTTAGCCATGCTGACACCAATAATAAATATATTCTCTGATGCAACTTTAATGTCGATCAGGGTGGAATAGGTTAAACTGGCGCTACTTACAGCAGTATGTCCACCCAACTTTATATTATTTATTGCAGGTGGCAGAATTTCATCATTATGAACTACTCTGTCACCTAACTACTAAAAACTTTACATAATCAACTCACTGAATTTCATAATTCTGCTTCAACTTTCAGTGGAGAAAAATCAGTTTCTAATACTTGTAAATTGGCAGCTCCTGAATGACATGAAAATCAATCAACTCCCCTTGATGAAGGGGTGATAAACTATGTTCTTTATAAACTCTCCACCTACTAAGATGGTCTGGAAGTCACTCTCCAAAATCAGATCAGGGTTGGCACAACTGAATAAAATCTCAGATCAACATCCTAAGATAATAATTGGAGGATGAATCAGTTATTAAAAAATATTTTATTAAAACTGAGAATCACTGGATATTACTTTATTCTCTGGTCCTTTAGGGATGCCAGGTGTTTCTGAGCTTCCCAGAACTCCTGGGATGCCTAGACACCCTGAATTTTTGGTGCGCCTGGACGCCCAGGTATTCTGGGAAGACCTGGCCCCCATGAGCCTCCAAAGACCAACAATAGTTTGGGAATTCCATAATACAAAACCAATTCCTTGTTGCAGCAAATGCAACAGCTAGACACCCACTTAGGACGCATTGCTAAGGGGAGTGAACTCACCCAAAAATGCCTTTAAATGTAGAATTCTCCTTATCTGCTCATAATGGGCGATGTGGATCCTTGGCATTCTACTTGTCTCTGAGTAATGGTTGGAGCAGCGACTTTTCACTATCAAACAACATCTACTTAAGCTTGAGGAGACAACTTATAGCATATAAAATTAAGTTAGTCAGTTGACCCATTTTTGCCTCCATAACCATCCTTCATTGATCCCCCACAAGTAGATCAACCTTGTTATTGACAATTTGAATGGATTGCGCCATTAATTAGATGTCATTCAAGCGCATGAATGTACTGTAATACTAAATCTTTCAGGCTGAATATGTACCTCCCACGTCCATCCATGTAGTTAATCCACCAAACCCACTGGAAACTCATTCAAGCCCTCTTTTAAAAGAAAATATGTCTCAGGAGAAGGAAGTGTCATTTACTTACTTTATGTTATAAGAGTTCTCAGTGATGGCTACCAACCATCAGAAGCTTAAGAAAATATCCATTTGCCTTAGCTAAGTTGGTCAAGATATCATGTCCTGCACTTAATTAAATAACATACTTAAGCCAATAAGACCGCTCTAATCAGAATTTTGGGAGTAATTTAAACTTGTAATACTAAAAACAGGCTTTCATGGAGATTAGATTCAATTTAGGAAAAATAATTAAGGAAAGTTTGCCCAAGAATCTTATATTGATTCTTAAATAATAAATTTATGGATTTAAAACGCTTTTACAGTCCCTCGTGGTCCACTGCTTAGGATTCTCCGCTTTCACTGGAGCAGCCAGGGTTCAATTCTCTGCAAGTGAGTTAATTTAAAGGGGGTGGAAGGTGAGTCAGTAAGGCGTATGGCTACCAACCTGAAGGTTGCGGGTTTGATCCTCGCCCTTTGCACATTGATTGGGGTGCCATCCAAAGGAAGCTATTGGTGATTAGTAGGTCTTATAACATGAAAACCTTACCCATGACGTAACCAGAAAAATTCGAGTCCTTATCTGGAGGTGGAAAAACTTTCTTCGATGGAGTTGACCCTGTTCAGGTTTCATGTCATTTCTTTCTTTTGTTTCTTTCTTTCAGTAATGCCTGTCCCCTGGTTGGCTTGCCTTGGTTAAATAAAACGTTTTTACACCTCCATTAGAGATGCTTTATCTTCATTCTGAATCATTCTCATTCTCTCACTAGTGCTAAAAAAGCATGCTCATTCTCTAACTGTACCCTAAGGCAGTGAAGCACAATCTTACCTCAAAGCTGCGCATTAGTGAATCCCTTAAGGAGGTCCCTCACAATCTTCTTAAGACTTCTGGAACGCCTTGTTCTGAATATAAAGCTTTACTACATGTTCTAGTTTTGATGCCTCCAAAACCTTTTACCTAATGAAAGTACTGTGTCACAATTTTTACATTCGCTACATCAGAGCTCTTCTAGTGTGCCAGGCCACACAGTATGAAGACTGCTGGACCTTTCTGTTTTGCCTTCACTGGCGTACCTATCCACTATAAGCCTTTAAACAACCCACCAACCCAGCAGACCAATGACTTCAAATTGGCGACATGGACCCCTTAGGAGTATACCAGTGGTCCTCAGCCCCCTTCCTGAGCATCCTAAACCCTTGCTACTTTTCCATCATGGTCAACTATCAGCACCTCTTGGGTGGCTCCAGAAATTCCGTCTACATTGTTGGCGGCTGGCTTCTGGCTACCTTCAATCCTTATAACTGACAGCCTTCAGTCCCTCAATGTTGGTGGCCAGTTGGCAACTTTACATAAGCATCCTTGAAGTGACGAGGTATGGAAGTTAGTAGCATTGACCATTCCATGTGCATTAACCCAGCACCTACCTTTTGTTTCTCCTGTCCCATATTCACTAATCTAGCGGCCTAACTACAAACAACTAATAAAAGATGGGCGCAAGAGAGATCTTTGTAAGAGGAAACTACAACTATTTATAATTAGGCGTTTCTCTGGCAATTCACTGCCCGCATATCAATATCCATTAGCATTTATCACCAGTAACCCACTCAATTATCATCCTTCCGCTGTCTCTCATTCCGTCTTAATTGGATATGCTTAAGCGCCAAATATTGGGTTATTTTCCTTGACATCATTCCCCAATTCATCATATGTAAATTACTAATATAGATATTATTGAATATCCACAGCCTTCAGTCATCTGTAATTCAGAATCTTAAGCAGCGGATTCATCATTGCACACTCTCATATTGGAATCCTCAACAATTTGCTGGAAATACAATTATCCTCAGCATAATTAACCAACTAATCCTAAATAGTGCATATTTTATAGCCTTGCCATTCAGTTGCCAGTTCTATGACAATTTGAAGTCAAATTGGCATTCTACAATGGATCCAAATTACTAAAATAAATGTTTTGATATCATCAGCTCCAGTTGCTGATATCAAGTTACTAATAATTAGTGAATAATTAATTGGTCAATTATCCTTGGATCCAATTACCAGTAATTAAACTAACATTAATTCGTATTGGGAATAATATATATACTTCCAGACTTGGCGAATTCATTTAAATATCTCCACCCAACCTAATGGGTGCACAAATTGGCACATTATTTATTATTTATTTGGGGAAGGTCGACCAGGGGACAAGCACTTCTGATATAGTGGGGATAAACTAATGAAATTTGAGAAATTAAAAGACACCCCAGAGGGTTCAAGTCCCCTCTTGTTGTCTCTAGGATCAACAAGTTTAGGACAGTAGGGAAGGGGGTTATAATGGCTTATTCTTGGATGCAGCATGTGTGAAGGAAAAGATCAACCTTTAGGAACCATATGGGGAGTCATGTGTTGATTGTCCTTCTGTTACGTGGGTCATGTGTCCAAACAACCATGCTTTGATTGTTCCAATATATGGCAGTGGAAAAGATTGATGGCTTCTTGGATTGTAGGCGCTGCTCCTATAAACGATTCTAGTACTATTGTATGGATCGTCCATAGTGCTATTGCTACTATTAACGCCCTGAGGAATGGGTGGATAGAAGATTCCATGTTTATAGCGAACATGTTCCTTGCTAGGCTGAATGGTTGTCCACTTTCTTGGAGGAATAGGCGCATAGCCTCTTTCCATATAGTCACTGATGTTGGGCATTGTTCTAAACGGTGGGCTAGGCTTCCATACTGACCACATATTGTACATGAGGTTTGATTGGCATCTGACCGTTCTGCTGTGCGGTATATTCTCCTCATGCACCTCCATACATGTGCTCTTATCCTGGGTTGGAGTAGAGGGTGATGTGTGTATCTAAATACTCTTTTTTGAGTCTCCAGGCTGTAGGGTATATCCATATGGTCCAGGTAGTCTATCCTGGCTATGATACTCGGATTTCTGCTTATTATATTGTCTGTGACTATTTGGTCATTGATTTCCTGTCTGTGAGTTAGCCTTGGGCATCCTTGGTGACTGGTTTGACCGCTTATGTGGATCCGCCACGTTGCTCTTCTCATGGCAGGAGTATTCATTTGAAATGTGCAGGAGTGCCGTGTGGCCCTGCAGCTGTAGGATGGGATGCCAGATACCTAATTAATGTGTTTGGGTGATCTGGTTTTCTTAATTGGAGTTCTCGTGCAAAGTTATATCTTGCTGTTCTAACCCAATGTGTATATGGAAGAACTGGACTAGTCACCTGAGCTATCCAGGATCCTAGTATATGGATCGCTTGCTCTACGTTATTAGTAAGCCCCAAACCTCCATTCCTTCTAGAGCAAAATAGGGTTTCGAGGCGTACAGGGGGGTTGTGGTTGGACCAGAGCCATCCTTGTAATAGGGCGTGAATTGTGTTGAAGAAGGATGGTGAGAAAGCAATTGCGTGGGCTGTAAACCATATGATTGATAGAATCATAGAGTTGTCTACCGTGACCCTTCCTGTTAAACCTGCCTGATATCCATGTAAGGAGGCAATGTGTTTTGTTATTTTGTCTTGGAGTTGATTTTCCATCATGGAGTTGGCGTAACCTCCTGCTTCTAGCCATACCCCCAAAAGACGTACAGGTCCAGCTGTTGGCTTGTTGGTGAAGGGAAGTTTCAGTGGAGTCATTGCTGATTTTCGCCTCCTATGTCTGGTGAGGAGTCTTGATGTCATATTAGTTTGTTGGCCCTGAGTAGATGGCGTCCAATGGGTCTGATATTCTCCCAGGAGTATTATTTTCCGTTTTCTCAGTGTTAAGTGATGCGTTGCTAATGGCTGAATATTCTTGTATAATCTTCTCTATTCTGCAAGCGTCCTGATTGTTGGATATTCCCACCACACAATCATCAGCGAAGGCCATCATTTTGACTGGTGGTTGGCCCTTGACATTGATTCCATTGAGAAGTGTATTTGTATTCCGGATTAAGGGTCCAAGATAAAATTGTAAAGTAGAGGGCTTAAGGGGTCTCCTTGTTTAAGTCCTCTCTGTGGGATGACTGGGTTGGTTAAAAAACCTGCTCCCCGCACAGCCATGGTGTCTGACTCTGTGAACATCATCACCCAGTTTATGAATCTACTTGGGAGTTTAAATTTTTAAAGCAAACCTAAGATAGGCCCAGATCACCCTGTCGTATGCCTTATGTTGGTCTAAGAAGACCAGCGCTCCAGAGGTTTTGGACTGGCAGACATTTTCAACTGTGTGGATGTTGTCCCATATGGATATTCTTGGAACAAATCCATAATGTGATGGGGAATCGCGTCAGTTGCAATTTATTCTAGTCGTTTGACCATAATTTTTGTGAAAATTTTTGGTATCTGTGTTGGTTAGGGAGATTGGGCGCCAGTTGGAGAGGTTTAGTCTGTCTCCTTTTTTGAATAAATTGACAGTGTATGCTTATTTGCCTCCAGGTAGGAGGCATGTTTCCATAATACACTTATTCATTAAAGCTAGAAGAGAATTAGAGATGTTTCTAAAATATTTTATGTAAAATTCATAGAGAATCCCATCAGGTACAGGGCATTTCCCTTTTGGTGCACCACATACTACTTCACATAGTTCCTCGCTTGATATTATGTTGATTATATTATTATTTCTGGACTGCAGTGTCAATATGTGCACTTTTGAGGAATTTTTCATTTTTTTCTGGTTCAACCAGTTCAGATTTATATAAGTTCATATAAAACCTGTGCACTTTGGTTGGGACTTCTTTGGGTGTTTCCACTATGTATTTGTCCGGTCATCAGACCTGTGTGCAAGCTATCGTTTTTTTGGGCGTGGAATTGATAGAAAAAATAGCTCAATCAAGTTTCTCCATCTTTTATGTTTTCTGTTTTATATTGAACTCCAACTCAGTGTTGGTGTTTGCGGATCAGGGTGCTTAGCCAAGCAGAAACCTCCGCCCATCTGCAACCCCATCCAGGGCTGTACCCTGTGCGTGAAACTTTGTTTCTAGGTGGTTGATTTCTGCCAAGGTGTGCTTGCTAATGGCTGAAGCTGCCCTGTGTCTTCTAGACGTTGTATGTTTGATTTGTTGGGCTGTTGATTTTTTGAAATTTTACCAAGTGATTAGTGGGTCCAAGCAGAAAGGTGTTTGAAAATCCCAGATTGAGGATATTTCCTCCATCCAGGATTAAAATTCCAAGTCAGCTAAAATTTATGGGCATATTCTGCACCATCTGAGTGCTTGGTTACTTGGTCCCACCAGTTTGTAGGACACCAAAGCTAGCCAATGGTCAGAAAATTTGATCTTTGTAGTTTTAAATTTGGTGACGGAAAATTATTGGTGTGAGTATCAGGTCTATCCATGACATAGAGACAAGTGCACCGTTGTGTACATGTGGGCGTGTCATGTTTTGTAGCAAGGGTAGCCTT